AAAGTGGTATCAGTCAATTAAAATTCGATTTCTGTTGTTACAAGAAGCAATTCAAATCTGGCAGGTTGCTTTTTTATTATTTCATTTTATTGGCTTTTATCATGATAGACTACTTGTTGAATGCTTACTTGTCTAAAATCTGGTTTTACTTGATGAGAACATGTTCCATCTTTACTGAGATGAAATAATGGCCCTTGCAATACAATGGCACTATGTGAACTTTTACAGCATGCATGTGTCCAGAATTGACCATTATAAGAACACAGAGATTCTAATGCCTCATCTCAGCAACCCTTCTGTCATGACTATTTTCCTACCTCCTTTTCTTCCCACAGTAAAAAAAAGAGTTTCCCTGTATGGTTTCCCTGTTCTAGTCTCAAGACAGAAACATGTTATACAGAATGCCAGACACAATCACCCTTGCAATCTCAAAAATTCAGACAGATCTCTTACACAGGTTAATAATTTTCCCAACTGTAGTTTAGATATGATGTTGCCCAGTTGTTAATGTGCTGGTCTGTTAACAGAATTAAGATTGTTTTATACTAGTTCTATGCCTTACACTGCCCTTCGTTAACTTTTTTGACTAAATCATGACAGAAGTTTAATTTAAAGGCTTGAGAAATGTCTACCTCTCGCAGTTTCTGAATAGATTCGCTGCTTTGATAATCATAGGAAAGCTATTTCATTAAAAATATTCATAACATAAATAAAACACAACTCATTTCCCTCCAGTATGTTAACATAAATAATTGGTTATTCCCTTAAAATTTTGAGAAGCATTTCCAACAATAGTATGGTTTTGATTACCATAATATTACACCAAAATATTCCTGTGGTAAAAGTCAGACCAATCTCATACCTTATGTTAGGTACTGATATAATAATCTATAATCTATATCAACTTTTTTTTATACAAAAGCAAGACAAATATATAATAACATATCACACAGTAAACTGACTGTTGTATGCATTGAAATTGCTACCAAACAATGTTGCCACTTGCAGAAAAGTTGGGCATTACAAAGACAATCTTGGCCAACTGTACTTCAAACATGCTTCCAGATACACTGAAGGCAAAAGGACAATGTATTTACTGTGACCTACTGAGCTTGAAAGGGAGTAATTCTTTAAAACCGTTTCAAGAAATGGTTCCATATACTTTAATTAGACTGACATGAAAACCTTTGTATCAGAAACCATGAAGAATTTTATCCTGCTTAGCAGTAGAGGGCTAACATAAGTTAAGAATCCCAATATTCTTAGTTGAAATTTTTCAGAGTACCTTAACTTTGCATTGACAAATGCAAAAATTGTACCAGCAAATATATGTTTCATTTAACTTCAGAAACATTATCACATATCTGTATTAGCAAGAAAAGTGAATAAAGATGAGTGGTTATAAAACTGTGAAAGGTAAGTGATGGGGGGAGGGGGGAAGGATGAATCAACTCTACAGTTGAACAAATATTTATATTTAATATGATATTATAAGGTATTCTATCTAAAAGATAAATTGCTTCCTAAGGACATAATTTGTGTTATGCTTAAGCAATTTTAACAATCTTTTAAATATAAGACATTACAAAATATCCAATATAGTGGCAAATAATACCACTGTCTATTCCACAAAGCAGCAACTAATAATTGATAATAAAAACATCATATTTTCCTCTTCACACAAAAACTTTTCCAACTTCTAATAATTTCTTCTCAGAGAAGGAAAGGAAATGAGCTTTGGAAACCATCCAGTATTTTAGATCAAGCTTGTCCTTTGCCCTCTTCTCATTTACAGCAAACTTTCGACCACTTTAAAGATGCAGTCTTAAGTATATTGCACAATAAAAATTGTGGAATTTGTATGCAAAATAAAACAAAAGGCTGTTAATCCATGGAAAGATATACATAAATGCTTTCTTAGCCATTGCTGCTATTTGATTAAAAGCTGATGAAAATCTAATGAGAATTCTTTGCTATTAGGTCAATTAAACAGCAGCAGAACTACCTCTGCAAAAGGCTCAAAACCATGTAATTGCTTTCTCCAGCTCTCTACTTATCTCACCACCAGCTCTATTCAGATCAAGTTCTGAATAAAAATCAGAATTTTCACAAGATTTTATACACAGACACCAACAGTATGTTTAGTTATCACACTCAGTCCCAGTAAAACAGGTACCAATTTTAGTGTCACACAGTCAGTAAGGGCCTAATCCCAACAAAATTATTTGGCAAAAGATGAAGATCTCCAGAAATGAAACAGAAATAAAGTATGTGCCAAGACAGAAGACTAGCACCAGTTTCATCAACCTAAACCAGAACTGACACAGCACACAGCGTGATTCAGCTTTCTACATTAAAATTGATGCTGCTTTCCCATGGATCCAAAACCCAAAATTAGCTGATGGCAATGGGGAATAAAGGAACTAACTGCAACAATCTCAATAAGAGAGTACATACAGAAATACAAAAATATGGTTTGAAAGCTTCAAGGAATAAAATCATAGAGTAGTTTAGGTAATCAAGCAAAGAATCATAACCCCAGTTCACAAGCCAAAAATTTTAAGAACTGGTAATGTTACCTGCACAAGATACTGGCAATAGTAAGTACTGTTGTCTAAGCAAAGCAAACAGCTGTCCTTTTATCTTTTGAAAAAAAAAAAACACAAACAAACAAAAAACCAACAGGAATTTAAGAAGAAATTGTCATCCAGAATTACAGCAAGAACAAAACATATCATGGGAGATATGTGAGGTAAGGAACAGTTTATGAAGACAGATTATTACCACTTTCAAAGGCTGCTGGAATATCAGGCCAGCACAGAACTTAACCACTAGCTCCTATGAAGTAAGAAAAACTCAGATCAGTAATTTTGAACCTAACAATAAAACTGTTAAGCTTGGTGAGCAATTCTATGCCTCCTCCTAAAATCAGAAATTTACATGGTAAGACTGTCAATAAAGTTTCAGAGTATTACATACAGGTAATCCTTGTACAAAACTGGCATGCACATTTGGAATCAGTACTAAATGTTAGACGTTGGAAAGAAAGTGATGAGTTAAATTTCATCCAGATGTAAAGACAGCAGTTGCTGACTTAATTCACAGTGTGTTACAGTGAATTATCACGGTTGAGTAAATCTCAAAGAAGTGTTAGATAAGCACTTTTATGACTTCAAAGTCACAGAAAGATAGATAAGCCTAGAAAAATGAAATAGGAAAATGTTCAATACTGCTATTCGAAAAAAACCCTCACAATTTAAAATAGGTAAAGGTTTACAGAATACTTAATTGGCTTCTAACACTTCTAAAGTTAGAGTTTTAAATTAAAACTATACTGGTCAGTGAAAGCTCAATTAAAGCAGGATCTTGGTGACCCTGCATCTTTCCTTTTTTTAATTTTTAGGATCTGACTGGTTTTACTTACTGACACAACTTACCTGAAGTCATATACTGCAGTAAAACCAAAAAAGAATGTATGTATGTTTACCAATACAATAGGTTAGTATCTAGATTTTAAAAACACCTTTACCATTATTTCCATTATTTAGTTGTGTGTGCTAACACTCCCAAAGTAGTAGCTTTACAGACACTCAGGATATGAGTCCACACTTGAAAACTTAGACAATCCAGCACAAATTCAGGAATATGTTAAGATTACTTAATGTAGGATATACTTCAGAAACAGGTCTTTAAGACAGGCAATGTGTATACAACTGGACATGGTAAAAACTATTTTTGTCATAAATGCTGCTTTTGCTATGCAGTATTTCTCCCTTCTGTCACTCCATAAGAAAGCATCATAAACTTAATACTGCAAAGCAGTAATGAAAAATTCTAAATTTTCATAAAGTGTTTTATTAAGATTATTTATTACATCATCAATTCTATTTCTGAATAACAAAGTTCACAGATGAAATCCTGACATTTTTATGAAATCAATATGCTGATAAAACGATAAAATGTAAATGCGTAAATGTAGATTGATAAAATGCAGATCGGTAATCAAATTCAAACCATCATTTTTTGCTACTCCAATTAAGATATGACACTAACAGAGTTAAAACAGATTTTTTCTTTAAAGCATAAGACAGTTTCCTTTAACTAGTGATGGCCAAAGCTGAAAATAGCTCAACAGGGCATTAGTTACTGAAAAGCTTCCTGATCGATAAGTTCATTGCAAGTTCTGTAGATTCCATCCCAAGAAACTGCTTGAAAAGTGGTAAATAACTAAGAGTGGTAGAAACTTGACAAGGTCCTCTTTATTTTCCTAGCAGGCAAAGAGAGTTTATTCTTCTGAAGTCTGATGAACATTTGCTAATTTGTGAGCAGGAAGAAGCAAACAAGGCAATTCTTCAAAGACAGCAGTAGCGGGATCTAACTAATTTTGGCAATAGTAATTTTGGCAATAGTCAACTTAGTAAAGTTGATAAAGAATTTAAATTAAAGGAGCAAAGAGATACAGGATAGAGCATTCCATAAAGTTCAGTGGAAGTGTTACAGACATGATGGGAGATGGTACAAAGCACGTGAAAATATTTGGCATCTCCTTTTCTAAATAAAGTGCTCTGGACAGGAAGATAAGAGCTTACAAACCTCAAGGGTTTGTGTAAATGTAGCCTGAAAGGAAGAAACAAAAGAGATCTGTTTTTTACCATATGAGGGAGCACATCTCTACAAAAAGACAGAATATCTGTGTTTATCTTTGGGCGGCGGAAAATTGCGTGGTATGGAACATTTTATAACACATTCACTACAGCTAGGAGCCTCACAGAGAGAATTTTGGAAAACACAGCCACCCACGTCATTGCTCAAATTAGAGACGGTAGCACCTTTCAAACACCTAAAATTCCAGACTCTGCTTGCAACCAGAGACTTAAGACTCTGACAGACTGTCATACACAACTATGGAACTGCAACTTTTTGCAATTGTAGACTCACTGTAGCAAATGACAGTCTATATAATGTTTCCCCTAAAAATAAAATTGAAATAATCAACTCACCACTTGTCCATTCTGAGGATTTTTATGTGCATATGGTGGTCCACGGATGTGATTCCACATCTGACCAGATGTCATAGCAAATACAACACACTAGGAAAAACAGAAAAACAATATGCTTATTAACTTACCATGATGAATTGAACAGAAAACCATTCTGCTGGTGATTCTTGCTTTAGATACGTACTTGTTCCCCTAACCAGACACAGTATCTTCCTCTATTTGAATTTGAGCATCGCATGTTCAGTTGTGTTGCTCTCATAAAATTCTCAATCACTTTCGTTATTCTGAAAATGATTTAGCTCAAGAGAGATTTTTCAGATCTCTCTTGAAATAATCCTATATTTATGTGCCACATTTGCACATCTATATGGCAACAAGCACTTGGAGCAGTAGAAGGCATTCATTGTAAATGTTCTGGAAACTAGTATTCAGGATTTATACAACCTTTCATGAAAATATTTCTGTCTCTGAATTCTATATAAATGTTTAGCTTACCTTTTTGCTTTCAGGTGTACAAAATGATATAAAAAGTCACAGAAACAAATCCAGTTATTAAAAAAATATGAAATTCTCATTGTGTGTCCTATATGACTGTGATTCATTTTAGCTATGACAAATAGCAGTGACTGAGTTGTTAGAAAAGTGAAATTCCCTATGGAGGAGTGTGAAGTTAGGTTAGAGATATATGACAACTGTAAAAACAGACTTTAATTCTCATAAAAGGTCATTATGATTCTCTTACAGAGGAAAATATCGTATCTTTTGACTAACAAATGAGAAAAACAGAAATAGGGAACTTGTATAATCTGTCTTGCGTCTTATCAGTATAGATAATCCTTAGAAAAATTACAAGATAATTTAGATACAGTTACATATATGCTCATTTTTACCGTATACCAATATTCCCAACAGCACACTTAAGTCATACTTATGGATCACAAATGTAAAAATTCATACCATAATGACTAACTAAGCCAGGGTTTACTAAAACCCTTAAAGGATTTTCTTTAAAGAATACTTAGTAACTCATCTGTGAAGTAAATATAATCTACTGGAGCTCTGTATCCCTGTAAATGCAGCATTGTCACCTCTAGTAATACGAATAAATTTTGCAAAGCCTTACTACTGAATCTTGTCAGGCTTTATTCAAATCTGTCTTGGCTTTCCTGGTTTTGGGTTTTGTTTTGGTGGGGGTTTTGTTTGGTATTTTTTTATTATTGTTGTTTGGTGGTAGTTAGGGTTTTTTAACTTCTTTAGCTGAAACAGCAATTTTTCCAAAGACCGCGTGACTATGTCTAGTTTACATTACAATTGCTTATCTTCGCATGGCTTATTAATTTCCCCCCCCCCATTCTGTTTGGGATGAAATAATTATGACCAACACACTGATGTAGTGCAGGCATGAGCTGACTGTAGAGACAGCAGAACTGTAAACACAGGATGCAGTGTACCAGTATGGAATGATAAGAAAGGATGCACAGGATTACACTGCAGCCTATAAATATTACACCAACAGTGAACAAAGAAACACAGATATGGGAGCTCATCAAAAACAGTTTTAGGGTTAACAAAAGGAACAAAGGACAAGCATCCAACATATGGAAGACCACCACCATTTACCAGTAAATTCTGATGTAAAATTTAGTTGCAGATCAGTGAAGGAAGCACAAAGCATGAAATAGCCCCTAAGACCCTAAAGCAAGGAGGAAGAAAGCAGCAAAATCATACTCCTCCCTGGAGGAGAACCTGGAATGCTGACAACTCACCATAGTACCCCATCACCCAAACCAAAGCCAAAGAATGATCTCGAGATATAAACAGTGGAAGAGTAACCATGACATCAGAGAAAGGCAAAGACACTAAGAAATGTGTGCAAAACAATTTCAGTTATGCTGTTATGATTAAGACTTTTTTCTCTTGTAATAGAAAAGAAAGATACATTTTCATATACGGTTTAATTAAAATTCTTCCTTGTAGTGTTAAGATTTTACTTACAATAAGAACAGGTTCTTGGCTTTAAATATAAGGTGTGTTTCATTTTGCCTATAACAGGATTTGGAATGTAACAGTATATTAATTAATATGGCAGATGAAGGCATACAGGTAGTGATTATTAGCAAATGGATTATGTTTTAATTAATATTATGCAACAAAATGAAAAGAGTATACAGTGACATTACTGGAAAAGAGTAACAGATAGTTATTTCTATACCTTGCAGACTATTTTAGCAGAGAAATTTATACTGCAATTTTGGTGATGAATCACACAATAGATAGCTTATGTGAAAGCACAAAAGTATAGAAACTGAAAACGTGGATAACAAAAGTGAGGTGAAAGATATTTTGAAAGGCAAAAAATAAGGTGAAAAGTAAAACATTGAAAGATAACAGATGCATAGAATACAAAAATTAGGTCTCTGAAGGTGAGTCTTCTATGAAAAATCATTTCTCTAATTCTTAAATTATTGTTTGAAATTTACATTCTCTAGGGCCAAATCTGGTTCCATAAAGAAAGATTAAAAAGACTCCAGCTCAATTTATATAGTCATATATTTTATAAACGATAAATCTCTCAAATTAATCAAGATCTTTAATGCTTGTCAATACAAATACCATGCCGTTGAGACTGTAACATCTAACAAAAAAATACCTAGGTGACACAATAGTGGGGAGAAGAAAATGTCGAGTATTAAGATTATTGAAAAGCAAAGACTTAACAATATGGTTATTTAACTTGAAGGCATCATTCACATTCTTTCAGTTCAGACTGCTAGCGACCAAGGAAACTAATTCAGTACACCACATACTGGATCTGCGATGATTTCTTTCCATCATGTTCCTTTTTACGGTGTATTTCAAAATTACTTTTTCAGGAGCCAGAAAACATTCTCCCGCTTCTCCCTAGCCCTCTTCCAATCTTCATCTATTTTAAGTATCCTAAGAACAGAGCACTTCCATCATATCCCTTAAGTAAGCATTTGATATGCTACAGATAGCACTTGACATTCAAGCTCATTTTGCTGTGTTCTATATTCTCCAATTACAATCACCTGGGTAAAAAAAACCCCAACAGTGGAAACTATAGATTTCTATTGTATACACACCACTATTTGCAGAACAGATGCACACATCTAAGATACATCATGCTGATGCCATTCCAAATGGCATAGTTTCCATAGGATCCCATGGCTTGGGATCCTAAAGTTTCCAAAACACTTAGTTCACTCACCATTACTGTGAGTTCGTTTTTCCCAGGACAAAACTTTACCAAATTAATTCCTACAAATGATCAATCTGTACCATGTGGTTAATGACGTCATATTTACGCTCATATGCAGAGAAATGGCCACTTTCTGCAGTTTTCTTGGATCTTGTCAAAGTTCGAAGGATGAAAACTGGAGTTCAAGCCAAGGCACTTATCTCTGAGCATAATGACACTTTTTCATAGAAGAGTCTCTACTTTCTCAGTTCTACAGAGAGGAGTGCTACAGACCTTTCATCCCTCTGCTCCCTTCTTTCTCTTTGTCAGACTCCAAGAACAGCACTAACTGCTGCATGTCACCTGATTTATCAAGGGAGTTCAGGGTTTTTTCAGGGTTCAAACTATTTTAAGAGTTTTCAGATTTAGGTAGCTTACTCTGCATCTAAATGATAAAAGCAAACAGATTAGATCTACATTTTTGACTGGTGTAGCACAGAGAGGGAAAGAACAGTGATTTGCTACAACATAATATGGTTCCAAGACCAAATGTCCACAGGATGTCTTCAGTGGCAAGAAGTTCCCTCTATGATCAGTCCTAGTTGAATACACTATATGTGCAGACAGGTCTGCTCAAGGACCTTGTTAACAAATTGCAAGTGGTATTTTCTTGATGACTTCCATCCTCAGTTTCACTAAGGGGGAAAATGCTTTGAGTTCACCTGTAGTGCATTTGTGTTTAAACCACAAGGCTACTGCGAACAGTTGCAAGGTAAATTAAGCACCAAGAGTCCCAGCAGAACACTGAATTGCTAGCAAGACACAATTTCACAAGCACATCAACAGGAATTTTTAAACTGTTCTTGGTCTTGCAAACTTTGTCAAATGATTTATTTTGGCTTAATACATCCTTTCTCAAAGACATAAGTTTTGTTTAAGACTATCTGCCAGTTCATTAAACAAAATTACTGGAGATTTAAAAAGCCATTTGGAATGCATTTTGGAGAGAAATTTCCTATTAGCAGATACCATACAAAGCCAATAATTAGATTTCTTTTCAAGTTTAGACCCAAGAACATGGAAAACACTATGTAATGTAAGAAAAATAATGGAACTTTAGATTCATTTATGACTAGTTAAATTCAAGTATAGTTTCAAAAGAAAAAAAAAAAGGGAGACATGGGCAGCCAGTTCTGCACTTAATTTCTCTGTTGTTCCGCATATGTAAGTTTTAACCACCTCACAATTACTGTTTAAACAAATGTAATCCCTCCTATCCAGTTTAGCTTTGCTTTTGTGATCAATGAAAGCTACTGAGTTATGAGATCCGTGCTCAATTTCTACATAACAATCCATCACTTATTAGAATCTCCAATAAGAGATATACAATTCAAGGACAGGGACTATAACACAGAAGCAAAGACAATGGATTTCTGTATCTTTAAATGTGCACACCTAAAGCATTCAACTATAGGAAGAAAAGGAAATTAATAATCAGCATTTTTTGCTGTTCTTTTGAGATGCCTATCTACTCACACAGAGGAAGCTGACTTTTTCTATGCCTATCTTTGAATAAAACACGACTTTTTTTCTTCTCATTCCCAGAAAGGGGTGAAGAAGCCACTGGTAGCCACAATACCCTTCAAGCTCTCAGAGCAATAACTAATGATGAATGTATTATGTGGTATAGATACTGTGGAGTGTATCAGCACAAAACATTTTCATACCCATTAACTGTTCTGAGAACAAGTAAACACACACTTTATCTCCTCATTCAAGTGACCTGACATATTTTGCCCAATACAGTCAGCTCCTAGGGAGCTGCCATTCTAATCTGAGCACAGAATTCTGACTTCCCAGATTTCACAGGTATATAGGCAAATCTGAAGTATACACATAAATAAAACTGAAAATTATATGCAGAAAACCACAGTGACAGCCTGGTAAAGTAAGTGCTTTCAAAAGACCCCTAGCTGCCCACATTCCAGCCAACAGAACAGATAAACTCTCAGCACAAGTACTGTTGTCTAAAATGAAGCAATTTCTCATCTAAAATGTTAGAAGCTTGCCGGGTTTATACTGTCTGACCTTTTCTTCTGCCTGCTTAAGAAATTAAGAGTCCTGACAAGTGTCTGAATTCCTTCTTGTTATCAGCATAAAAGGACACCATTCTGCAAATATCTGAGGACAGAATTCCTTCCTCATCTTGGTGTTGGCATGTCAGAAGGAAAACTATCCATAGATGAATAGCAGAATTTGAATTAAAGTCTAAGATAATCTAGAGGATAAGTAATGCATGTGATCTCAAAAGACATCTTTTGGGATATTATGTACTGTGACTCAGTCATTCGGGCTTGTCATTCTAAAAGTCTGCTGGGTGATGTTGCAAATGAAAACGCCTAAGGCACACAAGATACTACCAGAGTCTGCAGTGCTTCAATGAGGGGATGAAACCACAAATATTGCTGTTGCACAATCTAATGCTACAAATATTGCTGTTGCACAATCTAATGCTACAAATATTGCTGTTGCACAATCTAATGCTGAGGACAAAACCAATTTAATGGTTTTGTGTGAACTGACATTGCAATTAATGTGTGAGATGAAAGCTCTGGTCTTGCTTCTGAAAGTCTATCAAAACCAGTAGACGCATTCCTAAATATTCTCCTAAAACAGTGCTGGAAATATTGTCTATGAGACACAACACTTTGGTATCAATGGAGTTATTGAACAAAAACTCAGTTAATCTTTCTGGGATCCTCTGTTCTGCTAGTAAAAACAGCAGAGGCGTTTTATGCTGAGAATTTTCTTCTAATTTTTAGCAACAAATTATTCAATCGGGCAGAGAGGCACCATCCATTTTTCATTTACATAAAAAGTGTTCAACATTTGGGAAAATAAAAACTTCTTCAACTTAGTAAACTAAGAAGCTCTAAAAAAGCAAGAAAAAGAAAACTAGAGAGTTCTCTGTTTGCAATGACACAGTTTGCAGTCACTGAATCCCAGGATCTTTATGAAAAACTTTCAGTTGAAATTAAAAAATGTTATTTTAAATTTAATGAATTAATGCTAACGAACGCTAGTTAATGAACGCTAGCTACCTAACAGTACAACATCTCCCAAAAAACAATCAAAACACAAACCTACAGCTTTTAGAAAAGAGCTTCCATGCTTTCTCAATTCTTTATCGTCTGAAAAAAAGAACTGCCAATAAGGAACAAGATAATTGCCTATACTTCTGTTAAAAACATGGGCTTCCTGTAGTTTTTATGCATCTTGCCAGGCTTTCTCTATTTAATTTGCTTTTTAAAGTTCAAAGAGGAAAAAATATTAATGAAGAATATAATTATTTAAAATTAAACATTTATTTCTTATTTATACCCTTCATAAAAAGCATCTTACTAGACACTATCTTCTCCATTTTTCCTTTTAATGAGTTTTTATCAAAAAAGACGCTCTAAGTTTTACTGGTAGAAAAAGAAGCATGATCTAAGGGAATCATAACTACATGATAACTTAGAAGGAATATATTAACGACTTTCCATTTTCTTCTATGAATTCTAACATATTTTGGTTATTAACTGAGGTTATCTGTGCAAAAGTCTGCAATCTGGAGCCCTTGTTGATTCCATCAAAAAGAAGTTATAAAATTAACTTGTATGGCTGGGTAAATCTGAATAAAACCAAAAGGATTTCTGGTAACTGTATGATCTTTGACAAAACATCATTTTGCAGACTATGGGGCTTTAAAAACATTGCGAAGTCAGAAGGACAATAACAATTAAAATAGTGAAGCACTGGTTCAATGCCATGATTAATTACTATATACTTTTAGATATAAGAACATTTTCTAAAACATCTTTTCAGTACTATTAATTTTTAAAGTAACCAGAATTTTATAGGAAACAGTATTAGCAACAACAATAAATAGCATTAATACCATTTTAATCCCTTGCTTTTTGATACAATCAGCAGGATAGCAATTACTGAATGGCATTAACAGAATTTCTTTAAATATTTGATTCCATCTGGACATTGAACCTGTCCACAGGAGTGGAATGTGATTATAGGGTTTCCACACTGCAATTTACAGTTACATTTAGATGCAATGTTCAGCTGTCAAGCTGCTGCTAAGGAGAACGGCAAATATTCTAAGAAAGAATTGATGTGTTAATTTTATTAATTAGGAAATTAATTATGTCTTCAACCATTTATTGAATGCAGCTTGTAATAGAATAATTCTATGATTTGAAGAACTCATTTTTAACCTCTGCAAGACAAAAAAACCAATTCCCCAAAACATTCAAACATTAAACTTTTGATCTGAAACTCAGAAATATGAAACTGAAATGAAGTTACTGTCTCCAGAGATACAGTGCATGGTTAAACAAAGGAAATACCAATTATTACATATCTTTATTTGATTTTTGACACAAATATCTATTTTGGTGTGTCAATTATTGTTTTACTCAGGTTATTGCTAAAGATCGGGAGTTCAAAAAATGTTAGACTGATACACATAAAATGTGAGCTTTCTGGTGGTCGTACATCTTTAAAAAGTATTATGATCAAAAAAACCTTGTAATCTAGAAAAAATATATGAAACTAAACATGACAGACTTACTTTGGAAGAGGAATGTCAAAACCCTGTGCTAGAGTTCAGGATACTCCAAATGACATCCTGCAACAAGGAAGACATTCTGCCCGTGGCTCTCTAGATCAAAAGGAAACATCATTCTACCTGAAATCTAGTCCTACAGGTGGTTTATTTGAAAACTTGTTCTTTATTCCTTCCTTAATGTATGGTGTAGATTAACAAACTGCTTAAAGAACGCATGCAAAGTGCACTAGTAGGAAAAGCTACGATACCACATGAGAGAAAAGAGCATTATCAGTAACCACTATTCAAGAGAAATGCCAAATATTAAGGAATTCTGAACAAAGAGCTGTCTTTAAGATCTTATTAATAATTCAGACATAAAAATTAATTAGTGCTAAACAGGCATTAGGTAACTTTATCTTTGAACTTGTGTAATAAAGGCTGCCAAAGACCCATCAGCTGAAAGTATCACAAAAAGAAAGTATCTTTTCATACTGTTGAATCACAGCAGAATAGCAAACCATCAATATGATACACCTTTGAAAAGGCAAAACTGATTATAGGATACATCAGTAACCTACTTCTAGCAGAGCTAAAATACACAGAACTATAAAATAGCCCAGGTTAAAAGAGACCTGAAAAGACCACCTGCTTTCATGGGAAAGGGAGCCTAGATTACAAATAAAATATGAATGCTGATGCACAAATAAACTCACATTCCATCTAAAATCGTAGCCATGTGCTTTCAAGAAAGGTCAATTCATATTGATTCAAGTTGAGAAAAAATCTTTTAAATTATCAAGTGAATAAATAATGATTTCAATGGCAAAAGAATAAAAGCTTGGTTTATACTGTGCAAAACACATGGACAAAATTTTTACAGGTATGGATCTTGATTGATAAAACTACTAGTACAGCAGGAAGGAGCTCTATTAAGCAGCAAAATGCTGAACTGGACTCGATAATCCCAGATGCTCTTCTAGTGTTGGTAACCGTGCTCTTGATGCCATGTCCCTGAAAATTAAGCCTAAGACGCCGCTCCTCAGATTTTTCCTCTTCTGTCAATCACAATGATGCCAGAGTAATGAGTCCTTATTGATACACCCTAACCATCTTCTACCATCCTTGCATACTATTGCCTATCTAAAACTATGACAGCTGACTATACTGCACAGTCCATGTTTTCATCACTCTATTCAGTTGTTCGAAAACTGTGATATAACAAAACACACTGCAACACACTATTAAATAAATTAAACCTTAATTCATTATTTATGGTTTTGAGGATTTAGTTGACTAGTGTTTCAAACAGAATTGGCTAGATCCAGTCTTTCCTCAGAATTAAGGTTCTAAGATCATCCTATTCTCATTTAGGTTAACTGTAGAATGTTAAAGTCAGTACTACTGAAATCAGTTTTGGATAGAATTCTCCCTTTTTCTTTGTTTCTCAGGTATTTTATCATTGTCTTACAAACATATAAAGGCTTTGTTACTTTTCTAAACCTTTCATCACTTGAAAGTGATATTCTGACACCAATATCTACACTAAATCAATCATAACACTACTGATTTTACCAAAAAAGGACAAGTTGAACCATAGCCATAAACATCAGTAACATTTATTTTTGGAAATATTTTCATATTAAAGTTCAGACATAAATCTGCAGCTATCAGAGAGTTTGCTAATTTTCAGTGAGTCACTCATAGTAACTGATACTCACTGTTTATGAGAATTAGATCCAAAATCTAGATTATCCAACTTTTTCTGATAGTATCATTCTGAACAATGCATTAATGCAATGGCTTGTAATTTACCATGCAAGTAATGAAGACACATATGCTAGGATAAGAAACTAATAAAAAGCAAATTAGTAAGGAAAATCTGCATACCAGAGCTGCCATGGCCCAACCAGTTTTGTTGTAAATGAACTCTAAATTATTTCTTCGTAGATACAACAAGCCACCAACAAGAGATACCAGAAGAGCCAGTGCAATTGTACCAGAATAGTTCGGAGGCCTGAATACTCTAATCTGGAAAAGATAAATGCAAATACAGATTGTAATAAATGCACACATACAGATCATCTTCCATATAGATAAATATGGAGCATCTGAAATCTGGATTCAAAGTCAGCAAGACTAATCCCTAAATATATTTAAATAAGAAAAAATAGTACTTCCTTTAATAAGCACATAATATGAAAAAAACTTCACGTATAATTTTGAACTTTTCAACTCCAAAACATTGTTTCTTCAACAGATTTGCAGGTTCTATCTGAATTAGAAGAAGCTACATTCAAATCTATTTGTTTTGTACATAGTCTTGCAAAGCACATTTTACTTCTTAACAGCCAATTATCACTGTTTGTTTTCATCCAGAATAAGACTACAGAAAATTTAACCAAGCAAGAGTGGAATATAATCTGCAAACCACAGAAGTTACCATAAATACCGTGAATGTTATTTTTTTAATGTGTTCTAGAACCTTCGCTCGACAAAAAAAAATTAAGGAAAGATGGAATTTGTCATCAGTCTGTCTCAGACTACAAAGATACATTTGGTTTCAACTTTTAAAATGTTGAAAGACTTACGTGAACATCTGTTCTGTCAGCTATCCATTTAGCTAGCTGCTCGGCTGCAAATCCGATTCTCTGCAGGTCGAATGTGTCAGCTCTCTTGGGTTTACCTTTTGGAGGAAAATGCATGAAAGTCGGAGCAGAGTTCATATTCAACTAGAAAACCAGGAAAAACAGCAGGAAAAAAAAATTAGTAACTCTATCCTCAAAATAAAACAACACAGTATCCTCAATAATGCAAGTCTAATTAGCACAAAAATATTATTTGCCTCCATACATTACAGTTTTAATACATCTTCATGTATAGTCCTCCAAAAAGAATGCTCAGAATATTCCCTCCAGTAGATTCTTCAGCATGTTTAATTATTCAGAGTATTTCACCCACAAGCTTTTCTGAGTAAGAGTATCTTATGCTTTAAGGTTTTCACATGCTGTAAGACCTTTCCTGTAACTGGTAAAACAGAGACCTGCACTCCTCCAATCCATTAAAGTATATCAGGGAGATATTCAAAGGGAGTAAAGCAGCTTGATTTGTTTCCCTTGCCCAGCTCTCATGAATCCAAAGTTAACTATACTATTCATCTAGCCTTCTACTGGCTGCAAGACCGACTAATCACGAGTGACTAGTCTTTTCTGAATCCAGAAAGGCCTAGATAAACTAGCACTGACTACATAACTTTCCCTAGAAAATCTTAATTCATGTGTTGATGTCACTGGAACCATTCAGAGGATATATGAAAATTCCCAAAGGCGATAAACAAGCAGATTTCCATCTACATTTGCCACTTGAAATTCTGATTTCAACTCTGCTAGGTGGTAGAGGAGAATATAGTTTTACTACATAAAATTCCTCCATGTTCAGGACACCTCAAAAATAGTGCAAAAAAGTACTTTAGAAAATGAAAATGCAAATAAACAAAATCAGAGGTAATACTTAAAGATGATGCAATATGGAGGTCTTTAAATAAAAAAGGCAGAGTAAGCCTGTTTGTTTCATTCCTGAAAAATGAAATTTAATTTTACATTACCCAAACTTAATCTTTAATCAAGTACAGAACTGAATTTTTCAACAGAAATTACTATCAAAATGTTTTTAATCTAAGCAAAAAAATACCCATCTTCTTTATTGAGCTGTTTTGGAAATAAATATTCCAAGAAAGTCTAAGACAAATGTTGTGAAATTGTTAAATGAAATATAAGATACAGAAACATGTTGAGATGCAGAAACCTTCTGGCACTGGATAGACTTTGGGGGCAGTTGGTCTAGAACTACTTTACCATTGGTCTGTAAACATAGCAAAAGCTAAAAAATGCAAATTGCATTACCTTTGGGTTTTTTTGCTATAGCATCAATATTACATTACTTGGTTGTTCACATAAATGTATGGTCAGAATTTCCCCCAAATCCACCTTAAAACAGTCATTAGTACAATGTATTCTTAACACTGCATCTCTAAAACTGGCAGGAACCTTACATATTGATGTTTAATTTCATCTACATGTAAACATGACTTTAAATGCATATCATTCAAAATAAAACTGAATCTGTGTTCTGTTACACAAGGAATAAGTTGAATTGGACTATGCTAACATGTATTGACTGGCTTAAGGCCAGATCAAACAACATATATTGTATTATTATAATCACGTAAGTTACAATAATACAAATTTTTGTAAAGCAAATCTTTAATTAGTAAAGCAAAATCTTAAGCCACTAATAACCATTCTTTACACAATACATTCTAATATTTCAACTGGAAGTAAGAATATTTACTAAAAACAGTAATTAAACTTTTTAAATTAAGTATTTTAAAAATAAATATTAATCTTTTCCCCCGAACATTTTAAATCACACATTTCACCAAAAGGTGTTTAAAATATATGGAGAACTTCAAAGCTTTTCACTTCTCTTAATCTGCATTTTTAGCTTCAATCAATGGATAAATATCAAAGAAAATCATGTCAGTATTTAGTATGAATTTTCAAGGGATGCATTTTGCCTTGACTACTCAGTTTAAAGGGAGACAAACTATTCTCCTACAGCTGATTTTTCACTCTTTATAGCCAATATATAAAATGTAAACCATCCTCTTCTCTTTTCCCTGAAGAACTTCCAGGCTAATTCAAATATTATTGAAGTTGAAGAATACTGTATCACATAAAAGCAATTAGTTAAGAGCTTTTTACCTCTAAAGAGAAAATAAAGGAAATCTTTAAATGCAAGTGTTATTTGCAATGTTCTTCATTCTAAAAAATTACATTAACAATTGTTTGGGAAAAAAAATGCACATGTATAATGCAATTTATAAACAAGGATTATAAACTACACTTGGAAAAACTAGAAGTGGTTATTGGTAGAATTTGCCTTTGTTAATGTCATAGAAACTGCAGTGTTTTTAACCAGGAGGAAATTGTATACAAAACACAGAGGTACACACCTACATGCAGAAAATAATTTGTCTTGCATTATTTGGCAAATCAACACGTAGTTCTAAAAATTAACAATGCTTTACAGTGTCCAACATTTACCTGTTGAAAAACATCTGCCCCTTCATCATAATCCACTATTGTGAAAAACAGTTTGTTTGAAAAAGCAGATGAATAGCGCCATGAATTAGCCAGTACTTGATATTCTTCATTAGCTTGCCTGTTAAGGAAAAGAAACAAATGTACATCCACATGGCATTCACTGGCAAAAAATATGCTATAACCAGCTGCAACAGCTAGATAAATTACATTTTCAGTATCATTCTCAACACCCATACTATCAGTTAAAACATTTCAGCTAGTTATGCAACTCTTTGCTTCAAACTCGTCTTCTCCAAAATTATAAAATGTGTTAAGGTAAACTATACCAGAGACATTCCAAGATGATATTAAGAAAAAATAATGTTTTCCATATTTAAAAGTCTCAGAAAACAGGAGTGGTCTGTGTGGCAAGTGTAACAAAAATCTGCTAACAGATCCATGCAAGCAAATGCCTATGTTGCCGTTGATTACAATATCAGGATTTACTTGCTGGAAACAGCTACAAATAAGGAATTCTGAAACCAGTGGACAAACAACACAGAATTGTGAAAGTAGCAGTCTTCCTAAAACAGCAGAGCCATAAAAAGAGAGCCAAAGAAACTGCTAAGCACTTGGGAAATGATCCTAACCAAATCAACAGTAGGCTTGTAAATAGCATAATAAATTACAGATTATTTCTCTAAAACTTGTTTTAAAAGTGATAATTTTGTAGAACAGAAGGTGATTTGCTACTACTCAAATATGTCAGAAAGCCTCCTCTTGGCTTTACTCATGGGTCTATAATCAGGTCGGATTTTTTTTGAGGTTTTGCTTGTTCACCTGTCCACTTTAAATAAAAATTAAAAAAACCCAAACAAACAAACAAAAACTCCCCCAAAAAACAAATAAACCCCCACCACAATAAATCTGAAATACAACAAACAAAAAAAACAAAATCCCCCCAAACAAGCAAAAGCACAAACCAAAAAACTTTGCCCTGATTGCACTAAAAGGAAGGGAAAGGGAATTAATTCTAAGAGAATAATCTCGGGATCTTTATCAGCAGAGACATTCTCTAAACACACAAACATAAACCCACAGATTCTTTAATAGGACAAATCAATACCAACAAAAAAATTCAGAGAAAAAAAAATGAAAGAATGCTTGCAGTACTTCCTGATTGACACAGATTCCTTTGTTAATTTCCATATTATTATTTAATCACATCTGCTGTAGAGTCCAAACCAGGATTTCACCACTTGGCAACTCGACTTTGCATATATAAAGATACATAAGCAGTATAAATAAATGTATTCTGCAGCTTTTATCAAAACAGTGTTTCTAGAAAAACAGTTCTATGTGTTAGATGGTGCAGAACAGTTTATTTAAAAGCTGTAAATTCAAAAATCTGTTTGCTGTAAGAGAAACTCTGCATTAAACATATAGAAGAGAGAGTAAAAAAGGGGAAGAGCATTACAGGACCATAGATATCCCAAGACCTTCACCATTTCTTCATAACTGAGATCAACTTTAGGCATGACATATATTACATACAAACTCCAGCAAAGTTGTGTACTATGAAGACATACATTGTACATGAAAGAACTATCACAAAAATCTAAGAGTTAAAATGAAAATTCATGACCTTTTACTCCCACAAAGAATAAATAACATGAAGCACAATAAAACTCAACTTTCAACCTTACTACCTGACTTTGTAAAATTTGCTACTTAACAGCCTTACTGAACAGGCAGTTTGCAATTTAAAAAAAAAAAAGTGATGTACTCATTAGCTGGTTATTTCTAGAAACACGTATCACTAAGCAGGCTAACATATTCACTGTCAACCTGAAGAGGGCAGTCAGACAACATCAAAGGAATGCTTTAAAATCTTAAGCAATATCTGTAGTGCACTCTTCTGATAAGCCTGCTATATTAAAGCTGAACCATTTTTATTAGAAGAACAAGATAAAAATCACTTCATCTTGATGCCATCATTCTTCTTCATCTACCTTTCACTTGTGATGAAATAGTATTTCTGGGAAATTCAGATACTCCACTTATGCCCCCATTATTTGAGAGGACTCTTGTTCCCGCTGATCTCAATGCATTTTGCATCTTCGAACTATTTTGAATTAATATAATAGATAGAAAGTATAATTTTTCAAAAGGTAGCTTTAGATTTTCTGTAACAGAGTCAAAGCAAAATTTCATCCTCAGACTGAAAATAACAATTCTGTAATACATCTTCATAGAAGCTCTTGAAGGGTGTGGAGAAGAAAGACTGAAGCAAGGAGAAGCAGGAATACAAAGTTAAAGGATTACCACATCCACAACTGAAGATCATCCTACACTACATAATCTCCAATTGATACAATGCTGATACAATCACATTAATAACTTTCTGTAGCATAGGTTCATTCCTTTTCAGACTCAGTAACAGTAAAAAACAAGCACTTGACTGAAAAAAATTCAGTCTTCAATTAACAACAGACAATATCAACTATGTCACTTTTTATCTACCTAGGTCTATAATTAGTTCGTACTCATTTTATCAGTTTATTTCTATGGATCAACATTAATTATACAAAATTGCTATAATAATTATATGAAATACTATAAAGGCATAAAGCAAAGAACTACATTTGGGTTGAACTCATCAGAAAAATATAGTAGCACTGCTCTTGTTTGTTTGACAGGATTTTTGATATATGGAGAACATCTGAATGCTAATGCTATTATAGTCACCTCTTAAGAACTTCATTATACCAGCAACAGAGGAACTAGCAACAACAACAGTAATATTAACCAGCTACTAGAAAATAGTGGCTAGATCAAAGGGAATGCTACTATTAGATTTACTCAGAAAATTCAATATTCTGGAAAGTAAGCTGCTAAGCAAATGCTCTACGAAAATTCTTCCATTACGCAAGAGTTGCTCATGAAATATTAAAAGTTTTATTTAAAAAGATTAATTATGTGGGTGTCTATGGCAGTTAATCAGATTTGTATAGCTTGAGCTATATTTAATGAGATTAATTTTATTCTATTAGCCTGACATTTTAGTAAGAAAAACACAAATGGAATATTAGGAAAAGAATAAGAGTGTGGAATTATTTGACAAAGAAAGCAGTAAAGCATTATTTTCTGGCACACTATGGACTGTACGAAATACTTACATATGTACAGTTGGCATAGAATGCACTACCAGGTCACCTACCTGTTCTTATCCATCTGTTTAAAGTAAACTGCAAGCAATGCTACAATTTACTTCCACAACAACTTTTGGCTTTTATTTGGAGACATGTTTCCAAAACTAAAACAGGGGGTTAAATGCATATTTTGATGTCTTCTCAGTGTCAAGAAGACAAATTCAGAACGCTTATTTGATTTTAATTTTGTTTAGAGTGACTCAGACCGTCTTCAAGAAAAGCACTGAAAAATCTACAAATGTGTCCAGAAAATTCACCACATATGTGGTGACATAGTGTATGGACACTAGTTGAAAACTACACTCGTTTTGCAAACTAGATGCCTATAAAAGGGGAAGGCAAGTTAAAATCCATGCTATTCAATTCACAGCATCCCATGAAATTTTCAATATTCTACAGATGAAAAGAAGCTATGAGATCCTATTTTGTAGAAGTTGTGAAGTAAAAAAATAAAGAATTGTGATCACAGGAAGAATGAGTTTCTTGTGATCCAAGTAGAAATTACTGCCTGGTTAAACAGGACTCATCAGTACTTCTACAAAGATCCTGAAGTACACAGGAAAAGCAATTGCTTAACTTTCAACAGCTCCTTCCACATTTCCTATTCCTTCATTGAACAAAAGTTCAAATCACAGTTTCCTTTCACTACATTTAAGAGACCTGTCAACGATTTTTCTCACTACCTCCTCTTGATCAAGTAGCCAAAAAAACCCCAAAACCACAGAAAGACAGAGGATCCTGTTTCTTCCTTCTGATGATGCCTCCTTGACTGTCACAATTCTTTTTGCTGTTGACCTACTCTTGGCTCGGCTACTTGAAAACATATTTCTTTTCTGAGATATCTTTTGTAGCAGGGAAACCAACAGAATCCCTCTCTTTTCAGAATTAAAAAATCACCTCCTCTTGGAGGTCTAATTGATAGGGTAGATGTTAATAAAAGCATGAGGAATCTCTTCTCTCATATATTTTGCTATTTGTTTCTATGCACTGAGTTAGCAGAAGGCAGCTACATTCAGAGACCTTTATTAAACACATACTACAAAATTAAGCTCAAAATTTAAAAATACACAAACTATATGTTGAATTATAACCATAGTTTTAGATAAACCTGTAAGGAGGAATAACTTAAGCAGTTAACTTTGAGTCCATTCTGCAGCAGGCTTTCTTCAGCAGCTACAAGCTTGTTCTGAAAGATATCATTAATAATTTCTGACAGAATTCAATCTTGTCACTCAAACTAAACCAAAGCAGTCTTTAGAAAACATGTGCCACATGTGAAAAATTGAACCATCTCCCCCATATTCTACATATTTTTAATATAATTTACATTTATATTTATACACACACAGAAAACTTCAGCTAATGGGAGTAATCACCGCTCCTTTCAATATAAAAAAACTTCTGACGCTTTTAAAAATGCAATAGTCTGGTCAACATGGATGAAAAAATTACTGGCTACCCAACTCCTCTGCATTACCAGCCACTTTCATCTTTCTTCTTCATAAATACTCTTTGCACAGTCTTCGCAAAACTGTGTTTTCCAAGAATCTCGAAGCAGGTTTGTTACTTCCACCGTAAAATACTGTTAAACATCATCTAGAACTGAAATAAAACAGTTTTCAGCTAGTGCAGTTTACAAGTTTGTCTTCACAAGTGGTCATCTGCCATTACCATAGGTTTTCTCTGTTGCATTTCCCCATTTTTCTCCTGATCATTTATGATGCTAATTCTAGGCTTCAATCTTGATTTGCTATAATTCAAACAGGCTCACCTCTTAAAAGGAAACGTGGGAATTCACAGGCATAAACAAGCATAGTAGAAAGTATGCAAACCAAAATCTGTTTGTTTCAAGTAGCTTTAAATTCACAGAGAGACACACTTGTCTAATTTACATATTTTAACCATTATCTTATAACAAACTAGTAGCACAGGTCAACCTATAAAGCCTATCCACCAAAATTCAGCATCTTTAGCCTCTGCTCTGATCTTTTCAAGGAACACTAAGAAAAAAAAAATCAACACAAAATATGCACCTTTCTGTGATGGGCTTCAGCTGTTGAGGAAAAGCTCAAGTGACCAATTTCATTTTTCTCACCCAAATATCCCTTTCTAAATGAAAATACCCCAGAAGTGAATTTGCAAAATGAACCAGACAAAAATGTGAACTGTTTGGAGACAAACAAGATGTCTCTGATATACACCTGTACTGAAAGCAGAGATGGTTGCTTCTGCCAATCAGATGAGAGAAGCAGAGCTTGGAAAGTAAAATAAAAGACTTTGCTTATGGAGTTGTCAGATGGTATAGCAACAAACAAAAAAGAATGAGTTAATTATAAGAATGAAAGATGCAGAGGAGCAGTCAGCATCAGCAGGATAGAGCTAAAGCCCACGTGTAGCTAAAAAATCAAGCGCAGCCCGGGGTCACTGAAGTCTGGTTGGTAAAAAGGTGCTGATCACTTAAGAAAATGTGGTGAGAATAAAATGGGGGAGCAGACTGCAAAACGCAAAAAGATGAAAAGCACAGAAGCTGGAAGCGAATTTTCACCCAAAAATGCATTCAAGTCAATCTAGAAGTTACTATTTGACTGTATGTAATACAAAGTACAAGCTGAGAAACAGTCTCCTCATCTCTGTGAAGATACTATTGTCAGAATGAACGTTCTTTTTTCCTCCTTACATACATAAGTAATTTTTTCTTTAGTAGTGTGACTGATGTGGGTAACGGAGATAAACTATTTAGTTGAGTGAAGACCTAAACACCAAGGGAAAAAGACAGCTGGTCTTATATCCTGAATCATCACTGTTCAAAGTTAGATTATTTCAGACTGCTCATCCAAACTGATTCATCATCACAGTGTGTCAAGGGGCCCTTTAGGATCTGCTTCCAATGTGCAGTTGCAGAGTATATGCACCAAGAACAGCAATAACAGGTAAAGTCAATTAAGACTAACCAAGTTTAATTTCCTGGAACTAAAACAGTTTAATCAAACGCATTTCCAAATGTGCATGGAAAAAATCCCCCATGTTAAGCCATTAGAAACACGTTTGACCTCCATTTGAGACCACATTGGATATCTAATCTGTTATTGTTAATTCATCTCCCAACACCAGCTATGTCATATTGAACTTAAATAATTGTGTCAACAGAAATACTGACATTTATGCGACCACTAACACAATTGTAAAGGCATCAGACAGCTTTCAATACTCTTTTGGATCAGTACATTGAAACCTGTTTGTTGTTTAAACTTGTTATATGTAAAATCTTCACTCTAAATTCTGCTTTAGGATAAATACTGAATTTCCTCAAAAAAAAAAATCTAGAGGCATGACTAGAGGCTCTACTAACATGTATACAGAGCTGCTGGTTTTCAGAAGCCTCCATGTGTTAGGACTAGATTGATTCAGACAAGATTGACTGAAAGTTTATTTTTTGCCAATACCAAACCTTTATCCAAATATCTAGAGTCCCAAGGACTTCTTTTTAAGTGGTATTTTAAAAGTAAGTTGATATGATTTCCATATACTTTCACAAATCATGTGATTTATGTGATTGATGATATAATGTCTTCCTTGCTGCACAAAGAAAATTACATTCTCTGAGACATATTTGGTCAGCTTTTCATACGTATGTCCTTGATATATGGATAGGTGAACTCAACCAAGTTCCATTCAAAATCTGGAACTTTTCCAGCATTAAAAAGGGTAGGAGGTTGCAGAAGGGGAGAATCCTTCCTTCATGCCTTCTTGACAATGTCCAAGCTACAGCATTTCTCAGCAATGGACAGGCATGATAGTCCTTTGTCCAGTGGAGAACATAGATCACCAAACTGACTTTGCATTCACTTGGAAGGAATTCCAGAAGTGACACTAACCTTTCAAATGCAGGAAGCTACCTCTCCATCTGTGAGGCCACAATCGTTCAAAACACCAGCCAGAACAGTCATACTGATTTTACTATAAGCAGGGGCTCCTCTAAACTACAAACATTCTAAATATAACCAAATACAAAATCAGATACGCAAAGGATATAGGTTTTTTTTTAACAAGATAGGACACAAATGATCTCTTCTGGTCTCAAATGTGCTCATCTACAATGGCTTGCTCTAATAACCATTAGCTTTCACTGCTCTTCTCCAGAGGAGGACCACATTTCCTACTCTTGGTATTTTTATCTTGTTATTTACTGCTCCCCCTCTTTTTATTTTTTATGTATAATACTGTGTTTTTCATGCTTAGAATTTGACATAGCTCTATTCAACAGCCACACACAAATATTTTTTTTCACCTTTTGAAAATACTATGCACATGTTCTTTATTAACTGGACATTTAGAAGAGACAAAACACAGAAATTTCAAATCTAAGCACCAAAAGGAAACAACAAAAACTTTTTTTTTTGTAGATAGTTTATGCATCACAGGCCTAACAAGGCTCAATTTTTAGGGGGAAAAAAAAGTTCTAATTCTTGTGACAAAGTTATTCAAAGTCAAAGATTTCAGTCTATGTGCTTTTTCATATCTGAAATATGACATTGATTTTTTTTTGTATACAATTGCTCTGAAAATATTTTGACAAGTAGCAGTTAACTTAAATCTTGCACAAAAGTATCTTCACAGAACATTACAGATTAAGTTAAAAAAATCTATTTTTCCTTTAGGCAAAGTGGTTAGTGAATAGCTAACAATCAAGTAATGCACGCATTTCAGTTCTCTATATACTTTCAGTGCTCCTGTCCATTAATTAGGAATTGATTTGAAAATGTCGATTTTCCTGATAATAGTCTTACGTGCAGTATGATCGACCTCACTAAATTCCTTTTATTTCCATGAACAAGTGGATTGCAACTTCACATTTATTTAAACAAGCCCAACTGAATGTAGTATGCTGATTTTTCCTTCATTTTATGCTTAAAGATTTTCAGTTGCTTCTGTACATAGATGTCTAGTCTGGCCTTTTACAAGATAAAATTTACAAGCTCTTTTTCAGTACAGTAAACAATACACACTTGCAAGCAAACCTAATTTCCTTAAAAAAAGCAGTATTTATGTTGTTTTCACATGCCCTGTACATAGCACAGGGAAAGAATTTGCTATGGCCATTATAATGACAAATACAATGACCCTTATAAAGCTGAACTTGGTGCATCTCCTGTAGCTTTATCCACTGGGTAAGAAAATAAGGAATGATTTAAAACAATATGGTAAACTTTCGACTCCTATTTCCTCTCCTAAAGTTGAACCCTGGCAACACAAAGAAGAAACAACAGCAACCAAAGTTCTGAACTAAAATTCATTTGACTTAAGAATATTGGAAAGCTTCTATACTTAATCCTTCACCTTCACACAGTTCATATGTGGAGACTGAACTCATGGAAAGGTAATTTATACACTCTCCCTCAAAACTGACCAACAGACTTCAATGACGGAAAATTAATCTATAAAAAAAATCCAATAAAACCCATATACAACTACAGATACACGAGTTGAAGTTTCTGTTGTAAATGTCCCATTCCAACACATCAGAAATCTAACAAGCTGCTATGTTTACCAACTCTGTATATAGATTAAAATGCACCTGTTTAAAACCAAGAAATAATATTTCTTAATATACAGTTTGCATATTTCATAGTTCTACAGAGTATTTTACTGCCTATTTAAACACTGTTTAGAGCTCCCTGCACAATAATCCAATCTATTTCTAGACACAATAATTTCTAATGCATATTTTGGCTGAAGAAGGTTTTATTAGCACAGTTTCTGATTCAGTAAGGTAATTAAGTGCATGACTACCTTTCAGTCCCTTGGCCTTATTTGCCTGTCTATCCTTAGTAATTTTTGGATTAATTTATTGAGCTAGGAACTTGCACAAAAAGGTCTTGAACTTAGAGGAATACCAGAGCCACTCTAATACATATTCTAAATGGAGACACCAGAACATATCAGAGTGCAGTGCCAGAAAGTATTCCACAATAAGCATGTCATTGTGGAACAATGTGCTTGCATGTAAGAACTGTCCAAAGCTGTAAAATCACAGGGTAAGTCACATCTGCATCAGAGCCTTCGACATCTCTTACTGAAGAAATTAGTGAAGTGCCATTATTATATGGTAATGAACCACTTCTGTCACACAATGTCTTTGGAAAGATCATGGTCAACTATAATAAAATAAAGTTGATTTCTTAAAAAGAAAGTCTTCCTTAGTTGTGTACATTTTATTCAATTGTAATTCAAAAAAGAAATAAAAACTTGGCAGAATCCTAAAATTTGACATCTAGATTAAATGACAGTTGAAAAGATGCTGTAACAAGCACATGAGCCTGTTGAATAGTGTGCATCTATCCCATGCAAAGAACAACCCTACTCAGTGTATTGCACATTAATTCAAGTGTTCATTTGAAGGCTGGTGAGGAAGATGAGAAAGTTCAGTAAGGTATAAATTACCTGCAAACAGAGCACTGCCGCTGTGGCTGAAGAGCAGTGAACATCACTATCACAGAGTAGTTACGAGGCGGAGCCTTCACAAACCTTCGGAATTTGTCTCCATTCATGCGGATGACTGAACGCCTTGAGCTCCACTCCATCAGCTGTTCCACCTTCTCAGCCAAAAGATTCTGTAATTGAGGACAAGGATGAGGAATGTTTAAGCTTAAAGTTTAAGTGCTTTGTACCTATATTCTGCCTTTTCACCCTCAGAGCTTATATGGACTTAATCCAGAGGTTATATAGTTATATGGTTATAGGTATAGGTTATATGTATATAGCAAAAGTTAGTTTATAGCACAATTTAGTCTTTCATGTAGACAGGGAAATTTTAAGTATTTAAAAAAATAACTCAATGTGGTCTTAAACAAAAAGGATCCATAAAATGAAATCAAACAGGCTGCTACCAAAGGCAAAGGAGTAGAGTAAGGTTGACTGCCTTAATACAAGTTGCCAGTACAGCAATCATTTAACTTCCACTTAAAAAAATTGAAGCTTTAGAAAATGCAACATTATGTTATATTTATTCTATTTAGTAAAAATGAGAGCAAGATATTGTCAGTCACTCAAGTATAAAGATGAAAGAAAATTGTATCTACTGAGAGAGAAATAGTATATTCAGAATTTCCTACAAACATGTATCATATTGAATTTAAATTAATACAAGTTTTATATTTTGCTACAGACAGGACTGCACTGTCATATAAACCCATCTAGGTAAATTCTGTTATGAGATCAACATTTTGAGCTGCTTTCAAGATTAAGGACCCCAAAATATTTTGACTGAACTACCATTGTATAAGAAAAAAAATCCCTGCCTGTGTGTTGCTTTTGCTTGAAAGCATTCCATGACATGAATGATTTAAAGGAAGCTATGAGACATATTAGAAGACAGTCTTATTTATCAAAGTATTCCTATAAAAATCTATTTAGAATTTTTTTTAATAAAGTAAGCCTGATGTCACACACGTTCAGCAGAAATTGTTTCGTTTCCTAAATTACCCAGGTTCAGTGAAGTCTCAATGACAGTACTCTAGGTGGATTGCTACATACATTGTATCAGGATCAATGTATCAATCTATCTTGTTTTATATCCTCTGTTCCCTATTCACAGACCCTGTGGAAGCTGCCTATATCAAATAAGAATTCAAAAAAGCGTGGAGAAAACTGGAATATTACAAGTCAGAAGTTGAGCAATGAAAGAAGGTGGGAAGGACAGAGAGGGGGCAGACAGACAGAAAGTGAAGAAAGGGCACCAAACAACAGGGAAACTAAGTTCAGAAAATTTGAAGATCTCAGACCTCTGTTAAAATACACAAATTAGTGAAAGGGTTTATGAACTGTGGAGGGGAAGAATAAACTAGCTTAAAAAACATATTGAAATGAGGACACTGAGAAAAGAGAATACAATGAGAGGCAAGGCAAGGATAAAACTCAAATACTGTGTAAGAAAAACTGAGAAAGGAGACAAGGTGGTTTTTCTAGGACTTTCTTTAAAAAAAGGAATGAAATAGAAAAATTAGGTCATCTAGTAACATTTTGACAAATCAGTAATGCTATAAATAAGAGCAGAGATAGATATATGAGGGGAAGGAAGGAGTGAACTGCAAGGATCAAGAAAAATTACATTTTGCCTGTAAGACCTTCCATCTTAAAAATTATCAGGCACAGGTCATCAGAAGGCTTGAGTCCAAAAGTTTTGATCAGTGTAAATCATGAACAGTTCTGAGAGCCGCATTTACTTGATGTTATAAAGCCTTTAAAAAATATCCTTTAGGGTTTCATTCCTTTTCTCACAATTTAGCTGATATTTGTTATCACAAATGTGAAAGAGAGATTACAACTCTGTTTATATAAATTAATCAATTAATACCATAATTTTTCTTCTGCTAAAGACATATGTAAAGTTTCCTTGAATTAGCAGTGTCTGAATTAAATCTTTGATCATTTCAAAAGATTCACTAGTTTTGCATCAGGCACGGCAGCTGGTAATGTGCAATAAAACATAAGGAGCTAAAACGATGTGAACTAGTATATCCAAAAGCTTTAATAACTGCAGCAAAAAGATAAACCAAAGAGAACTAATAAAAAGACACGACTTCTATATTAGCACAGGAATGATGTACAATAACCTACTTGGTACAGAAAACCAAAGACTTTTCAGAACAGGCCTTATTCAGAGAAAAGAAACCCATGAAATAGCATTAAGTGTATGAAAGCAAAAGCATGATTTTGACAGAAAAAAAAAAAAACAGGAGAGGAAAAAATCCAGTTCTATTAGTGCTACACAATTTGTTTCTATCAAAGAAACAGTTATATTGGAAGACTTACTCAGAGAATTCCCAAACCAAGTTTTACTTGGAAGCTTGTTGCCAATAAAAAAATTGCCTTGATTCTTTCAGATCCAACCATGTGCAATGTCACCTTTGCAGAGCTCTTATGCAATATTCTGAAGTTCACCATAATGTTCTCAACCACTTGTATCTTTTGTTGTTTTTTTTTTTTCTAAATGCACTAGGTAAAAAGCTAGTAACTAAACTAGGTAATCAAGCTAGTGCTTCAGGAATGTAGTCATCAGGTACAATTTAAATACTTCCTTCATTGCATTCTGAAGCAATCTACTCTTTTCAAACAGAAAGTTATTGAATAGATTGCTATAGGTTACCCTTTTCTTAGGTAACTGACCGCACTTCGATATCCTACCAAATTTTTCCTACGCTTTATTCCAGAAAGACTTCTTTTGCAGAATAATTGATAGAAGAGAACTTGGAACTGATAGCTCTAGAATTCACAGTGAAGTCTTTCTGATTTGTAACTCTTTAGAGAGAGATGAAGGCCTGATATTGTTTTTGTCATTTACAAAATATTTTCACAATATATGTTACTAAGTTAGCAACTTTTTCCTCATTTCATTTAATAATGAAATCTAAGAAATAAATCTACTCTTAAATAAGTTTCTGTTTTAGCCATGCATTTGATTTTCAAGCTCAGTATCTGTCTTAAGTAAATATGGCACATTTCAAAATTCCAACTGTGTACTTCAGCTTTGGATCAAAAAGGCACATACTTTTATGACACTACACTCAGAAAATTGGTCAGTCTGTTAAAAGGGGGGGGGAGTATGTTTTAAACATGCTGAAGCAGCAGAACAACCTTAAGGATTTCATAATTCAAATTGTAACTGATATTTTTGTAAGAAAATATTTCTCAGATGAAAGTGTATAAAAAAGAAAAAAACACGAACCAAAGTATGAGTTCTACCTCAGTCAAAAAATTCTCTTGTGTAAAAGAGAGTGGTGAAAATTGAAAAAAAAATTGACAGAAAACATTTAAAGCCAAAAGGGATAGTTTTCCATATTACCCTAATAAAAATAACCTATTAATATCCAGCAAAGCATTGTTAGAAAAGACAATGGTCTATCCCAAATTGTTCTTGCCATGAAGATACTGAAACTGAATATGTTCTCCAGTAGTTTTCTTCTATCATTTACCATCCAGCTATACAAACCATACCTAAAACTGTTACCAAAGTGAATTCCCATTAGGATTTTAGACATTTACACAAATTTTATTAACTCAACCTCTTTCCACCACCTGGGGAAAAGTTTTCTTCCAGAGAAAATCTGGGCATAGGAGAGAATGGCTAAATCTGACAAAACACATCTTGCGATGAACAATATCCAGAAAACGAGGAACTATCCCATTTTTCCTCTAGTGGCTAATTTTCTGCTCCTTCACACAGTCTATACAAGTAAAGACCCTACATTTGTTTAAACCTATTGGTTTGCAGAATTCCTCTGAGTACTTATACCAATAACTCAATGGAACTGTTTTAGTTGAAACACTAGGAAAAAAACCCCAAACAGACAACAAATCCTAGAAGCCTAAATACGAGAAGGGAAATTCTTCCTGTATGAAGAAAACTCTAGGTTTGATGTTACAAATAACTACAACAGAGTCAAGAGATAACAGTTTACTGATAAAAATATAGAGAACTTTTAAATCAACGGGTGAAGAGGCAGACATATATAATTTATGTATTTTCAGTGGCTGATGCCTCAAGCAGAATAAAAGAACATTCATAATCTATGTGCGGAAACAACATGAATGCTAATTTTTGTAAAGCAAACAGAACTATAATACTCCTTGCTGTTACTACACTATCTTGTAACAAGTGAAAATCCAGGAATTTTCTTACTGAACAAGAAAAGCTGTTCGTTTTTTAGAAAATGGGATTTTCCCACAAAGCAATCACCTATGAAAATTATCTTTGCTGCTGTCAAAAACATAGGGAAACTGTGACAAGTTATGAAACAGAAGATGCTGGCAGGCCAAGCTTCTGGTATCTACACCTGAAGCAATTCCCCATTAGGGACTGCTTCCCAGTGATCCCCTGTATCTCCTCTCTGCTTCTTAACCTAACAGAGCTTGTCATCTACAAGCCTTCCCTTTCATACTCTGTGACCAGCAGATTAGCTACTCAAAACACAGCTTTATCTATTCATTCTCCCAAGACACAGTGCCTACAAGACAATGCATAAACAACAATAAGAACCACCCTGTATCCACACATTTTTCTCTCATTAACTGTTAATCTTCCTTGGCCAGATTTTCTAAATTTCTTTTGGCCTAAATAAAACTGTCTTGTTGGGGGCAGGGGGCACCAAATAACACAAAACAAAACACCATTCAAATTTTCATAAATGTTGCTTGCTCTGTCTATCCAATGGATGTCCCTGACATTTTCAAGACAAATCTCCTATTTAAAATAAATAAATAAATAAAAATTAAATACTGTTCATTCAAATTTGTTGATCTGTGAAACACAAAATCATAAAAAAATAGCTGGAGTATGGCAAAGAGAAGATACTCCTTGGTTTTGAAGAAAGTTTTATCAGATTTCTATATCATATAAACATATTGTTGACAGGTTTACATTACTGAAAATGTATTTTGAATTAGTTTTCTTCTTCAGATCCCCTTTCATTTACTTTGCCTTCACACAGGTAGCTTTTAAGGCATAAAGGGCTATTAAAAAAAATAAAAGAACACAGTCTCAATGATATTACTCAATGCTTCGCTGTTCAAACTAGCCTGCTTTCACTTGAGACACACCAGCTCTACCACTTTG